ATATTTATGTTCTTAATGTTTGTTGTGAGTCGCCCAGAGTTCCCGCATCGGGGGGAGATGGGCGAGTGAGAAATTCAATCAATCAATCAATCAATCAATCAATCAATCAATAAAACACTAGTTAGAACACACAAATTATTTTATGGCTTTAACCCCTGACATATTTCCTGCTTTTTCTTCTTGTATTGCTCTAGTGTCATCAGATGCCAGGCAAAACATAGACAGGAAATGTCAGTTGTCTTTTGGAATATGTTTTGTCAAGCTAGCTGTTAGCTTCGTCCTCCTCAGAATACAAACTTTGTGTTAAACTTGGCATGAACAAGGGGGCCTTTTTACTTCAGAGATGTTTTACATTTAGTTACATTTTACATTACATTTTACATTTACATGTTTTACATTTAATTTACTACTATTTTCCTCCAACTTAAATTGTGCAAGTGATGTTTCCTCTGTCACTACATGTTGCTCTAACAGGACTGCTGGCAGATATGTGACCTGCTGACTACAGGCTGAAGCATCTGAGAGAAGAAGGATGGTCAGGCCTTCTTCTATAGTTGTGGTCTATGCAGACTCTCACAGAACCTGGTGAGGACACTCAAAAGAGGGACAGTGTTGAAGTGAGCTCGTGAGGGAGCATAAATGGAGGAAAGAGGTCCTCCAAAGTTCCAGGCTATTTAGAGCACTTAGATAGAAAGTAAGCCCTTAAATTACTCTTGTTTCAGAACGAATATTAGTTACTGCATGGTAGAAATGCAAATACAAATTACCAATGTTTTAAAAATGATGTGTTTTTCCCAGCAAGGGGCAAATCATCTCCTTCTTCAAGACAAAATATGAACTTTCCTTAAAGAGGAATAAGCCACTCTAGCCATATCCCATTTTTCCAACAAGTCAGAATCAGTCCCTCCCTCCGCTCAAAAATTTTCTTTGTCTACCTTTGTTCATTTGATGTCAAGCTGGCAAATTCAGAAAACAAGAACCCCTTGGATTTCTAGAATGGACTTCATTGCTATTAGGATAATGTAATAAAATCTTGAAAGCATCCCAAAGCAATTCTCCAGATCAATTTGTACCAAGTGTGATTAAGGTAGAATTACCCTGAGTCTCTTTCTCACATTTCCCCACCTCTAATGAATTAAGGATTTTTTTTAATGGCCCAATTCTCCCCTGTAACTGTGTTGCTTCATCTTCCATGTTCCCAGGTTCTATTAGATATTCCATCTCATTTGAAGACACAATTATTCAAATAAAGAATTCTCCAGAATACCATAAAACAATCAAATACAACAATTCTAATACAAAGTTATGAGAACTAGAAATCAAATGCCCAGGCTTGATAATAGTAGTAGTGAAAAAGGACTTGAAATAGTTATTGAATGCAAATAACATACAGGTCCTCAGCATTATATACAGTGGTACCTCGGGTCACGAACGCTTCTGTTCACAAACAATTCAGGTCATGAACAGCACCGTTCGCAAAATGTTGCTTCCGTTCGTGAACTCTGCATCGGGTGATGAACA